CCACCCCCCCCCAAACACCCACCCCCACCCACCACACCCCCCCCAACCACCCCAACACACACCCACCCCCACAACCCCCCCCCCCCCACCAACCCAACCCCCCACCCACCCAACACACAACACCAAAACAAACCCCCCACCAACCCCAACAACCCACCACCAAACACCATCCCCACAACCACACCAACCACACAACCAACCACAACCAATACCACCCACACACAACCAAACCCACACACCCCACCCACACAACACACCAACACCCCAACCCCAACACCCAAAACAAACCAAACCCCCCCACCACAAACCCCACCCAACCCCAACCCCCCCAACCCCCCAACCCCCCAACCCCCCAAACCCCCAACCCCCCAACACACACCAACCCCCCCAACACCCCAAACACCAAAAACCCACCAACACCCAACACCCCAACCCCCACAACCCAAACCCCAATAACCCAAAACCCCCCCCCCTTCACCCACCCACAAAACCCACCAAAACACAACCCCACAAACCCCACAAACAACAACACCACCCAAAACCCACACCCAAAACACAACAAACCACATACCCCCAACCCACCCCCCCCCCACACCACCCAACCCCCACATCACCAACCCCCCCCCCCCTCCCCCCCCCACCACAACACACACCTCAACCAACCCCCCACACCACCCCAACCCCCCCAAAACAACAACAACCACCCCCCCCCCTCCCCCCCACCACCCACCAAAACCCACAACCAAAACCACAAAAAACCACCAACCCACAACACACCCAACACCCCAACCCCCCACACACCAACCAACCACCCAACACCCACCCAAACCCCCCCCCCCCACAACCCCCCCCAAACACCAAAAACACAATCCATAAAACACATAAACCACACCTCCCCCCTAACACCACACAACCCAAACACCAAAATAAACCCCCACAAAAACCAAAACACAATCCCACACACCCTCAACCCCATAAAACAACCAATTACACTAACATAACAAAATACAAATCTCCCCATAAAAACCCCCCCCCCAACCCCCCCCTCCCACCCCCCCCACCCCCATCCCCCCCCCCCCCCCACCCCACCACCCACAAAAAAACCATTATAGTACCCAATCCTTTTAACCTCCATATCAACACACCCACCAAAAAAAACCATTTCCACAACCTACACCCCCCCCCCTACCCACTCCCCCCCCCCCAAACCCACCCAACCCAACCCACAAACCAACAAAAAACTCACTCCTATAACCAACACAACTCCAAACAACACACCCCAACCCAAACCCTTACCCAAAACAACCCCCAACAACAACTACAACATATCCCAACCCCCAACACAACACAAACTAACACCACCCCACCACCCAACCACACACCCAACCCCCCCCACCCCCAACACCACCCCAACAACCCCCACCTAAACCAAACACATCCCACCCCCACACCCACCCCCCAAACCAAACCCCCAACAACACCCACCACCCCCCACCAAAACCACCCCCAAAAAAACCCAACCACCAACCACCAACCCACACCCCACACACCACCCACATACCACACACAACCCCCACCACCCTACACCACCCACCCCCCCCCACATCACCAAACCCCCCCCCACCCCACCAAACCCCCCACACACACCACCCCACAAACACCAAAAACCAAAAACACACAAACCACAACCAAACCCTACCCAACCCAACCCAATACCAACCCCCCACCCAAAAATCCAAAATCCCCAACCCACTAAACATAACAATACCACCCATCCCAAATACATCCTCCATACCATCTCTTCTATTCCTACATACCCCCCAACCAAACAAACACCATCTACATACTCCACAACAACATATCCAAACACCTAAATTCATCTTCACTCAACTTCCTCTCCCCACCACATTACATTTCCTATCTAATCACCCATCATATTTATACCCCCCCCCCCCACCCTTTTTATCCCCTCCTCCAATACACAAACCCACACCAACCAACCACACAACAACCCCCACCCCCCCCCCAACACCCACCCCCCAACCCCACCCCCCCCCCCCCCCCCCATCCACCCCACAACCCCCACCCACCCCCCACAAAACCACACACCCTACACCAAACCCCCCCAAAAACCACACACCCAACAAACCCACATCACCAAACCCACAACCCAACCAACCACCCATCCCCCACCCCATCCCCCCCATCCCAACACATCCCCCCCATACACTCAAATAACCCCCAACCACAAAAAATCCACCCTTAAACCACACCCAAAACACCAACCCCTCACCCACCCACAAACAAACAACACACACCAAACAAACAAACACCATTCCCCACCCACCACCCCCAAAATCCAACCCCCACCCCCCACCCCACCACACAAAAACAAACACCCCCCCCCACACTCCCCAACCCACCCCCAACACCCCAACAACCCCCACACCACAACCCAAACAACACAAACCCAACCAAAATTAACACTACCAACCAAAACACCACACACCACAACCCCCCCCCCCCATTCCACCCACCCACCACCACAACAAAACACAACACCCCCCACACCCACAACTCCATCAATAAACTAACCCACCCACAACCCCCCACCCACCCACACCACAAAACCCCCCCCAATCCCAACCCCACCCACCACACCAACCAAACCCCCAAATCACAAACTCACCACACCCCCCCCCCCCACCCACCACCCCAACCCCACACCACAAAAAACAACAACCAAACACAACACCACCCAACCTCCCCACAACCCAAACCACACCCAACAACAAAAAACACACCCAACCCCCAATCCACCCACTTACCAACCCCCCTTCATCCCAACTCCCCCCACCCACCCATACTCCCCAAACCACACAACCCCCCAACAACCACCCCCACACAACCACACCCCCCAACCCACCAATCCAAACAACACCCACCACCAACCACACCCCACCCACCACCACCAAACACCCCCCCACCCAACCAAAAAACCCCCAACACCCCCACTAAAACACCCCCCACAACACCAACCCAAAACCCCACCACAAAACCCAAACCCAACACCCAACACCAACCCCTCCACCCCCAACAAACAAAAAACAACAACCCCACCAAACACCCCCCACCCCCCCCCACCCACAAACCACCCCCACCTAAACCCACCCCACAAACCACCCCCACCCTCTACAAACACCACACCAACCCCCCCCACCCCCCACCACCCACACTCCCACATAACCCAAAACCCCCACCACCCACTCAAACAACCCCCCACCACATACCACCCAAACACACCCCCCCCAACCACCCACCCCACAAATCCCTACACAACCCCCCCCCCCCCCCCCCCCCCCCCCACCACACAACCACAAACACAATCTACCAACTACCAACCTACCCACTACTAACTCCCCCCCTCCCCCCCCCAAATCACAACTAACCACCAACCACACCCCCAATACATCAAAAAAAAACCCTACCCCAAACCCAACACACAAAACATCAAACAACACCACTCACACCCCCCCTACCAATCCCCCACCCCACCCAAACTCCCCCCACCCCCCACCCCAAACAACCAAACTAATCAATCAACCATAACCACTACCCTACTATTTATCCACCACAAACAATTAACCATACAAAACCCAAACCACCCCACACCCCCAACCCCCAACATCACACACCCTCCCAAATACAACAAACAACACAAAACATCACACCCCCATACCCCCAAACCCCCCACATTCCCTTAATATCCAACACCATCATACCATTCCCCTTCATTCATTAATTCCCCATCCCAACATACCCTCATACAACAACCATACCATTATCAATTCCAAACCCAACCCCCACCTACCCCCCCCCCCTCACCCCCCATCCCCACCCTACCCCCCCCCCACACCCCACCCCCCACACCCCTTTCTAAACATAAAAACAATCATAACATACACCAACCCTACTACCTACCCCCCTCCACCTAACACATTAACCCAAATACCCATCCCAACCCCCAAACCCCCCAAACCCCCCACTACCACAAACACAAAAACACAAAAAATAAAACCACCAAACTCTCAACACACACAAAACAAAAACACTCACATACACAAAAAACACACAAACACCCCCACCAACCCCCCCCCCCACACCAAACCCCCACCCCCCACCAACCCCACAAACCCACCCCCCCCACCACCCCCCAAACCCCCCCCCCAACCAACCAACCCCCCCCCACACTCCCCCACCCCCACACAACCCCCCCACACACCACCCCCACCCACCCCCCACCACCAACCCCCCCCCCCCCCCAACCCCCCACCCAAACCCCAACCCCCCACCACCCACCCCCCCCCCAACCCACCCACAACCCACCACACCCCCCCCCCCCACACCCCCACCCCCAACCCAAACCACAACAAAACCCCAACACCCCTACCCCCCCCACCCAAACACACCCCCCCCAAAACACCCCCACCCAACCCACCCAAACACCAAACAAAAACACACCACACCTTTTGTCTGTTATTTAGCTATCCCCTCAAAGGATGACAAAATACTTCTGGCTAGAAGTATAGTAAGTCTTTCCCTCGCTAAAGATAAACTACCAGGAAAAAAATGAAGGATTTGTGAGTATATTTACACACACGTGTGTGTGTGTATAATATATACACATGTATAACTGTTCTTTTTTTTTATTGTCTAGGAGCATTTCTTTGACCCAGTTTCCCATTGTGGGTTTATTGAAATGAGGCTGAGGAACCTCCGCAGAAGTCTTCACGAAGATCAGCGGCGATACCGGAAAAGAGTTCGTTGTAGTGTACCCGATCCTGATGTCATAGTTACCCTTCACATGGCAGAGCAGGAGGCAGACGCTACACTGGAGTGGACATCTGCTATTAAAAGGATGAAGCCCATCCCTGAGAACATTGCAACAATGGCTCTATTGTTGTAGTTACGAGAGGCACTCTCTATCAAAGGGACCACCCATGGCCCATCAGCAGAGGTGTTGATGGGGCCCCATCCCCCCAGTTCAGTGACTGCAGGCGAATCTGAAAAGTCAACTAAAAAGTATTTTGTCCTACAGGGAAGAATTTCACATTGCAGGAGTTGAACCTCTGACAGCAGATACAAGGTTACAATCGTTAGAGAAAAGGTAAACATGCATGAATTTTAACATTTGACGAATACTGTTTTTTGTCAAAAAAATTCTATGTGTATGTGTTGGTTCATAATTTACATATTGGGCTGTTCTTTTTTAATTCCAGAATAGAGTTTGAGGGGGATGGAGTTTCAGACCCGTATGATTCAGATTATGTGCCACCAATCTCATTACGGTATGTATTTTTTTTCTTATCTTTTACTTTTCACTCACTGATAGTATACATTTCATTTGGGTTGTAAAATAGCGGTGCATCGCAGGATATGGTCGACAAACTTCCTTGCATTGGGCTGGAATAATCTATATTAGACATTGCTGACTGTGTTGAGGAAGTCCAAGAAGCAGATCTTGAAGAGGAGGCAGCAGCCACCATTCCCATTTTCCCAAAACCATATGGAGTGGTTGTTGAAAGTGACCTTGTAAACCAGCAGGCATGCATAGCATACAACAAAAACCTGCTGAAGATGGCAACTTTTCTCCAATTGTCTGTCAATAAATGCCCACTACAGTGACCACACAGGCACAGAGTGTGACGGCCGTCCACCCTTTTCTGTAAAGTCACATGCCCGAGGTACAGCTTTGATATTGGAGTGGGTGAGTTTACATGGTTTGCACATGTGTTTACCAGACTAAGGTGGTACATGTGTGAAGTTACAGACTTGTTAACACTTTCTTCCCCATATAGTTTTGCCTGCACGGCCACAAATTATGGAGTTTATGCAAGGAGGAGATTTTATGTTGTTCTCCAATATTTCCCTCTTATTCAAATTCATGAATATCTGCATGTGGCCTCCTCAACATCTTCTGCTGTCCAGGGAACCTACTGTCTAAAAACAATAAAGCAGTTTTGGGAGGAGAAAAGGACTGCTATCATCAACAGATTAGAGTCCAAAGACAACGTTGTTGCCCTTGGTAAGTAAGCATATTAATTTCTAAGCCCGTGTATATGTATGCTTACATGCCTTTTGTGTTTATGTTTTAGGTGACAGGAGGATCTACTTACCAGGTAATGCACAAAGCTCTGTGGCATTTCATTAATATCGGTGTGTTGTTATTGAAATGTTTGTCATTATTTCCCCCACAATCTATATATTTTTCCAAAAAGGTCACTGCTATGTGCTGTACGTACACAACGATGGAGCTAGACACCATGGACATCGTAAGTGTTTAATTGTATTTAACACAGGTCTGGTAAGACTTTTTAAAATATAATTGTGGTGTCTTCAATCAGGCTGGAATGGTTTCTGGTCAAAAGGCTTTACTTGTATGGATCGAGGACATCTTTAACCATTTCTGGTATGCTTGTCAGCACACAAGCACCAGAGAGGAGTTTATGGTCTGTATGAACATTGGATAATTATAACGTCACTAGATAATGTAATTTTTCTCTTTGTGTGGTGACATGGTATAACTTTTGATATACAACGTATTGTATACATTTAGGGTGTGTGGAGAGGTGCACTTCACCATATGCGCCTCTGGAGGATAAACAGGACAAAGAGCCCATTCCACGTGGTTCTTAACCAGAGGTGGCTGAAGGATATTGAGAAGTTGCTCACCTTTCGGTAAGTCATGTGGGTGCATCTTGTGGGAATGTACAGGAACTGCCTTTTTAATACTACAAAGTATATTTTATTACACGGAGATCGAATTTATTTGTATGTTTGACGTTACAATAATCTTTGTTCTGTAGGACAACTTCGAAGCTCGAATCTTTCCAAAACCATGTCCTGATGTACGCAGGGAAGCGTTTTGGATTTACTTGGCGCCTATGAAGTTCGTACACTCCTCGCTGCATTAGACTACAACCTCCATAACCATCGCCCAGTGCATGTGAGCAGCAAAGGCCAAGTATCGTACGTCATACTTTATTATCAAGATACAGTATAAAAGCAATAAAGAAATATATTATTTCTACTGATGTCTACAGAAAAAGTCTTAGTGTTACACTGTGAAGGAGACTAAAGACTACAGCTCTATCCCAGACCAGCGCCTCAGCTCTGCTTGGGGGACTCTCAAAAAATGTAAGCAGATGACCCCAGGGCCATGGGTCCTCTGTCCTCCTCATCCCTCCTCCTGCAGCTGAACTGGAGCAGACACAACAGAGGACAGGTAGTGATGATTATCAAGTGGAAAACAAGTCTCTATGATATAAAATATTTTTCTTTCTTTTTCTAGGACTTTATTATCTGGTCCCTGAACAGAAGCTGACAGCAATCAAAGATGGACACAGCACATTTATTTATATTATGTCAAATATAAAAAAATTTCCCCCAAACATTGAAATAAAAGAAAGACTAATTTCTAAAGTGGTGATGAGTTGCATTTTAGTTTTAATTCCCTACTGTCGAACGAATAAAGGGGCTTCTTTATAACCCACATGTCCTGCTCTTCTCATTCCTGCCTGGCCTCTCCTCTGGCTGCTGCTCTTCCTCCTCTGGCTGCTCCTCTTCCTCCTCTGGCTGCTGCTCTTCCTCCTCTTGCTGCTCCTCTGGCTGCTCCACTTCCTCCTCTTGCTGCTCCTCTTCCTCTTCTTGCTGCTCGTCTGCCTCTCCCCCATTCAAAGTCACTGCTCTCAGAAACTACAGATTCAACTGGACTGGAGTCCTGGAAGGAAAAGCAAAAAGATTTAGATGTCACTGTTCTGGAATGTGTGTTTTGTACAAACTTCATCGAAAAATATTTTGAATTTATCAGAAGAGTTGATATAGTTTTATACCTACAGACAACTTTGTAGTATTAGTAGCAGACTAGTGTCAGTAATAACAATAATAAAAACAAAACAGTAACAGTGGTAATTATGCTGTATTTTCTATGGGAATAATAATGTTGCTAATGTTAGCTTGTCTTGGCTGCAAAATAACAGTGACTTCACTGATTTATGTTTATGAGTAGTAAATATACCACAAAAAGTCTCATGCTACGCTAACCTTATAAGGCCCAATGAAAAGATGATTTTGGCTTGTCATGGAAGCATTTCTATCTGTGGAATTGTATTATTACAGTTAGGCTTACGTTTATATATACATAATAGACACTTTTTTGTTCCCCTTTGAAATGTTGTTCATTTGTGTGAATATAATGTGGCTTTACATTTGCTGAAGTATCACATTTTGGAAAATATAGATTTGATTTGGTCTAAATATCATACAAAACAGTAACATGTCTTACCTCTGTTGAAGTCATCCCCGCAAATCTGTAACTTATCGAGGACAGGACCATATCAGCTGTTTCGCTTGGACGATCGGGGTTCGAGCCCCGGCCAATCCTCAGTTTTTATTAGCGGGGGGAGTATATGAATCAGATTACTCCGTTACTGAATAAAGTTGAATTTTTTTCCTGCAGTTTGGTTGGTGCAGATTGTGAAGTTTACAACAGTTTACTACAGTCTAGCAACTATTTTAAATGTGTTGGCCTAATTACTAAGTATGTTTTAGAAAAAATGTAAACGTCAACAAAATCAAAAGTGTCATAGACTGTACTCGAACCCGGGTCCTCTCACACCAGAGTCCACCGCCTTATCATTGAGCTATAAAGCCACAGAGAGTTGACCGGTGACAGAGAAAAAAGACCGATGAAAAGCCAATTTTCCTAACCCTGCTCACAAGTGCCACCTGGTGGTTGTTTGGGTCATTGCAGCATCACTGGGGAAAAAATAAATAAAAGACGCGTGAATCACACGTGAGTCTCGTGTGATTCACGCGTGAAAGGCGACAAAACGAAGTGGGACCTACTGTAACAGATGCGCACAAATTGGAAAACACAAGATCAAAAGTACTACACACCGCACACGCAAACACACAAATAAGAATGGAGGTCGTTAGAGATAATTAGAGATAATTAGAGATAGTTAGAGATAGTTAGAGATAGTTAGAGATAGTTAGAGATAGTTGTTTGAAGTCCCTGTGACTTCTGAACTCATCGACTCGTGCAGATGTTGTTTGTCAAAAAACAGATGTGGAACCTCCCAGATCACCTCATCTAGAAAAACGCACACACACACACACACACACACACACACACACACACACACACACACACACACACACACACACACACACACACACACGTACACACACAGAGACACACACACACACTCAGACAAGCACACACACACACACACACACGCACACACAGAGAGACACACACAGAGGCAGAGACACACACAGAGACAGACAGGCACACACACACACACACACACACACACACACACACACACACACACACTAATACTACTTTTTGCTGGTGGGACCAACTTTCTAAAAACCTCCGAGACGACTGCAGTTTGTTTTGAGTTAGAGCTGTGCAGAAATTGAATTGAATATATTATTTCCCATTCTAAAACATGCAATAGTCTCATTATCTTGTGGCCATTTTATGCGCAAACCAGATCCTCCCAGACCTCTGAAGCTAAGCAGGGCAGGTCCTGGTTAGTACTGTGATGGGAGACCTGTAAAGTGCCAAAGTGTTGATGTGTCCTGAGGCAAGACACTTCCCCCACATTAGAATGTGTGTGTGTGTGTGTGAATGGTTGGCGGTGGTGGGAGGGGCTGATGGCACAGACTGGTTGTCCCGCTTCTGTCAGTGTGCCCCAGGGCAGCTGTGTCTACAGACAAAGTTATAAAACTAATGCATTGTTACTAACCACCAAAAATGCAGCGTAATGTTTAAATACTATTGAATTGTTTTTATAGAGCTCTCAAAGACGCTTCACATGTCATTACTCCATACACGGTGGTGAAACTACTACTACTGTACACACTCATTCTAGGCATTGTGGGTGAAGTGTCTTGCTTAAGGACACATCAGCAGTTTGGCACTATACAGCCTCAGCCGCCCCGCTCCAGTCTCAGAGGTCTCCCATCACAGTACTTACCAGGCCCTGCCCTGCACAGCTTCAGAGGTCAGACAGGTTCTGGCTTTTATCCACAAGTATGGCCACAGACAGGCAAAGTAGTGTAAAGTGTCTTGCCCAAGGACACAACGACAGCAGACGTCAGTGGGAGTTGGTAGAGAAAGACTAATGGTGGGCAGAGAACCTGGTGGCGTCGGTATATGAGCCTCCTCCTCCATGAGTGGCCTCCAAACGGACTCAGACGGCTGTAATCCTTGGTTCTAATGTTTGTGACTGGCGCCCGCACCACCAGCTCCATGCAGCAGTGACTCATGTGTTTGTTCTGCTGCTGTGACAGTGTCCCGTCGCATCAGTGTCTCTCCTACAGCAGGAAGTGGGACCCGCTGTCGGCTCCCATCCAAACCCCCTGATCATGACAAGCCCTGAGCCGAGAGGGACCACAGAGAGAAGGCAGGAGAGGCCGGGGAAGACTGAGGGAGGCCGAGGGAGAACAAGGAAGACTGAGGCAGACAAAGGGAGACTGTGGGAGACCGTGGGAGACCGTGGGAGACTGTGGGAGACTGTGGGAGACCGTGGGAGACCGTGGGAGACTGTGGGAGACCGTGGGAGACCGTGGGAGACTGTGGGACACCGTGGGAGACTGTGGGAGACCGTGGGAGACTGTGTGAGACTGTAGGAGACCGTGGGAGACCGTGGGAGACTATGGGAGACCGTGGGAGACTGTGGAAGACCATGGGAGACCATGGGAGATCGTGGTAGACCGTGAAGACTGAGTGAGGCAGAGAGAGGCCACAGAGAGGGCAAGAGAGACCAAGCGAGACCGATGGAGCCCGAGGGAGACCAACGAAGATCAAGGGAGGCCGAGAGAGGCCGCAGAGAGGGCAAAAGAGGCCGAGGGAGACCGTGAACGCCGAAGGAGACCAAGAGAGGCCGCAGAGGGGGCAAGAAAGGCCGAGGGAGAGATCGTGAAGACCTCGAGAGAGAGAGAGAGGCCACGGAGAGGGCAAGATTGGCTAAGAAAACTGAGAGAGACTGCAGAGAGGCTGAACGAGACTGAGAGGGGCCAAGAGAGACCACAGAGAGACCGTGAGAGACTGAGAGAAGCAGCAGAATTAAACACATTTATTTTAGATACACATTTTTGTTTTATTGTTTTTTTACAAGTTTCTTTCTGTCGGCTCCAAAAACATGTGATATTTGGAGGGAGAAAAGTTAGGTATCCAAACTTTAAGATGAAACGATATGATTGTAATGTTGGCCTGATTGTAAGTCTGGTTTCAGGGAGCCAAACAAGTCTCTATGGTTTCAGGATGCAAAACAAACATTCACAATTCTCCGAAAATAGAGATCATTGGACAGAATTATTATAAGTAGAAACTTGGAGGTCGCAGTTGAGCGTCTGAAGGAGCAGACGGTTTCAAAGTGCATTTGTCTAAGTGCCATAAAAGTCTGATCCACCGCGATATCAACAAGAGGAGGCTTTAAATCAAAACAATCCGACGTGTTGAATATCCCTGAGAGACCAGAGAGACCAAAGAGAGATCAGAGAGGCCACAGAGAGAAGATAGAGACCAGAGGGACCAAGAGGGATCAGAGAGAAATCAGAGGCCAAAGAGAGAGAGGAAAGAGGGACAAGAGAGAGATCAGAGTGAGCTCAGAAAGAGACCAGAAAGAGGGACCAGAGAGAGATCTGAGAAAGAGTCTAGAGCGAGAACAGAGAGAGAGACCACTCAGGGACCAGTGAGAGACCAGAGAGAGACCAGAAGGAGACCAGAGAAAGAGAGAGAGACCAGAGAGAGACCACTGAGGGACCAGAGAGAGACCAGAGGGAGACCTGAGAAAGAGAGAGAGACCAGAGAGAGAGACCACTGAGGGACCAGTGAGAGACCAGAGAGAGACCAGAGAAAGAGAAAGAGACCAAAGAGAGAACAGAGAGAGACCAGAAAGGGAGACTAGAGAGAGACAATAAACCATATGTCAGAGACCAGAGAGAGACCAGAGTGAGACCAGAAAGTAACCAGATTGAGTCTAGAGAGAGAAACCAGGGCAAAGGAGGCAGTGGAGTCAGTCTGGAAACGTTGAGCGATCGTCATCTGCTGAGACCATTAACTTTGTGAACCTGCCGCACCATGGGTCTGTTGGGAAAGCAGCTTAAGGAAGAGGAGATCTGGGCTTCTCAGTGGGAATGAGGCCATAGATCTCTCTCTAAGCTGTCAATAAACCTTAATTACATTTTAATTCAGGACTGCTCCATTAAAGGGGCTTCCAGACAGAATTGCTAACCTGCTCACGCATCATCAAAAGTCTATTTGGCTCAACGTAGAATGACCTTCTCTTTGCCGTCCATATTTAGTCC